GTCTCATTCACGAGTAATTTAAAAACAAACCAAACTTGCTGGACTGGGGTATGGCTCAGGTGGTAGCGTGCTTGCCTAATGTGCTCAAAGCCCAGGGTTTTATCTGTAGCACCGAGTAAACTAGGTACGATCCCACTGTAGTCTGGTACATCAGGAGCCCGTGTCTCAAACAGGAAACAAAAAACCCCCGAACTTTCTGCTGGTTTGAATAGCATTTTTTACATCTCAGGTGGAGCTGGAAGTGACCCCTTGAAGATGCCAGCCTTACCTGGAAATATGACCAGAGCCGTGAGATCAGTCTGGTCTTGGGGATCTCAGTACACACACCAGAATCATTAGTTCTATAAAGATTACCAGTAAAGGTCTCATTCCCCCCTCTGGGCCACATGGTGAGCTGTCACTCAGAGCCACAGAGGGTGTCTCCTGAAAGAGGCCTCTGTCTGGGCTCAATAAAACTTTATTTGCAAATCCAGGCAGAGGGTCGGCTTAGCATCCATGGAGTAGTTTGCCAACCCCAATCTGGAGAAAAGCAAGAGGGATTGAAGGCCGCTTGATGACTGGGTTCTCCGGTGGCTGTGGTGTCCCAAAATAGCACAAATTGTAGGAAGGAACTGGCCACGGAGCTTGAAAAGGCGGATATTTACTTAATAGGGGGTGGGGATGGATTGTAACACCCTTCAGATGCACAACTGGCCTGGGTATCTGACGGCTTGCTCCCATCTTTGAGGGGCTGTGGCAAATAGTCCTGAACTGCGTGCGCGTCACCAGGCCACTTGTGGATCTCCTTGGTGGGTGTGACTGTAGGCTGAGGGCCCAGAGGAACTGGAGCCAGGCTGGGATGGGGCACTTGGGACTGTGAAGCCCTGTGGATTAGGATGGTGTCTGCAGAGGGACACAGGACACGCAGCCTGGAGACTCTGCTTCCTCTGCATCTAGGCAACTGCCCAGTGTGGTTTCCGTCTGGCTCCCTTAAGTGGGTACCTTTTCTGTTGGGGAGTTTCAGATCTAGAACCCTGTCTGAGGTCCAGGAAGCTGGCCTGTGCTGGGATTGTGCCGGTGCAGTTGGAGAGGAGGTTGATACAGAACCAGGAAGCCTCCAGCTGAGTCCCGAGTGGCAGAACCCATCAAGGGTCCTGGACCCTACCTCTCAGGTCAGAGGCTAGAGGCAGGAGGACCTGGTCCCCTGGGCCAGGTCCTGTCTGGAGAGGAGCTGAGAGAAAGAGACTGCAGGGGACACAGACCCCATGATATCAAGTGGCCATAAGGGTTGACCCACAAGGGATGAAAGTCTAATGTTGCTAGAGGCCAGCCCAGGGGCACCGGGGAGCCATTGCTTGGAGGAGTGTGTGTCTAACAGTCCTGCTTAGGATGAACTTGTGATTCCTCAGGGGTTCCAGGGCGCAGGAGCCCTGTGCTTTCAGAAGCCTACTTTACATTTTGAATTCTACTTTTTCCCCCCGGGCTGGCAGCGTGTAGACCATACCCTTTCCCAGCAGCTTCCACAGACCACAGGACCCAGCCAGCTTGGGTCTCAAGAGGAGTCGAGCACAGTCTGTAAAATAAGCCTGTGTTCAATACTCACGAGCTGGTCAGTACCTGACATGGGACAAACTCGAGAGGGGAGGACCAGGGAAGCCCGGCTATGACGTTTGGTATTTTAGTTCCCCTCCCCAAGCTAGGCGTGCCTCATTCGCAACTTCCCCGTCTCAGTCTCCCAGGAGCTGGGATGACAGGTGTGCACCACCACACCTGGTGAGCGTGCATGTGTGCATGTGTGCGTGTGTGCGCGCGCGTGTGCGCGCTTGCGTATGTGCCTTGCAGCGCTGGTCTGAAACACAGGGCCTCTTCCTTGCTAGGCAGGTGCTCTGGCCCTGTCTGTATCCCCACCCTGCCTGTCCTCAGGAATGTCCTCAGCCCCTGCCTTGGAGTAGATGCTTGCCTGCACAGGGATGGGTGATGTGAGGCTGCCATTGCGGGGACTGGGGAAAGAATGGACACATTCCAGTGACATCTGCCGACCCAATGCCTGCCTGGGCCACCTGGGAGTCTATGGTGGAAGATCTGTGAGCCCCACTCCATGGAGAGGACGTTAGGCAGTCTCTTCCGGCCTCTTCCCACAGTGGCCGGTTTGCTCAGAGTGGCTTTGCAGATTCGGGGGCCCAGGTCATGTTGTGGAAGATGCCGAAAAGGTGTGAGCCCTAGCCCTCGTCCCTCGCCAGACGGTGGCGTTCTCAGGACTCGGGCACTGAGACAACAGAGCAAATGGCACGGTGAGCAGCCAGAGACACTCGAAGGCTGCTTGACGCAAGGCAGACGCAGCTGCTGAGATGAAGCAAGGCCTCCATGTTCTGGTTTTGAACAGAAAGACCCCACAGCCCCAGTTCAAGCCGCAGGGAGGGCGGCTGGGCTCTGCAGGGAGGGTTCCATGGATGTATCCGAGCGCTTTCCGTCGGCCTTTGTCTCATTTCCTGCCCTGGGTTGTTGCTGGATGGTTCCTTCCACCAGTGGTTCTCTCTACACACAGCAGCAGGGACTGGAAATGTGAAGTCGGCCCGTGGATTCAGAGAGACCAAAGCCCGTGTCCCAGGTTCAGCTATAACTGAGGGTCCACTATGTAGCCCCCCCGCTAGAGCTATGCTTGCGGCTGGCTTGACCGCCTGCTCTCCTGGTGCAGTCAGCCTCCCAACCCCCAGAGGGCCTCTGTCTGCGTCCCACGGTCTCAGTGACCGTGTATGAACCAGGGCCAGGGAGGGAGAGTCCTTGCTTAGTATGCATAAGGCCCTGTGAGATCAACCAGCCAGTCAGTGCACATGTGTGCGCGCGCACACACACACACACAGAGACTTGTTTAGACTCAGTTCCCTTCCTTTTCCTAAGTACCTCTTAGTGGCTTTACTCGTGGCATGTCAATTCTGCACATACCCACAGTGAGCGAGGCTGCCCGAGGAATAAATAGCAGCCGGTTCAGTGCGAGTGGGCTTCTGCCGTGTTCTGGAAGAGACTGTGATCTCAGATTGGGCGTAGCATATGTGATGTGTTCCAAGCTGAGTTTAAAAGTGTCTGAATGGGCTCCTTGCCATTTACAACAGGGTTGAGTGAAAAACGGGAGAATCCTGGGCTTCTGAGGTTGGGTGTGGTTATTTAGGCTCTCAGAACTTCTGTGGCTCATGGATTTCTTCACCAAGCTGTTGATTCTCTGGTGTAAGTCCGTCTATGAACCGGAGACGGTGAACCGACGACATGCTTACTTTCGGCTTTCACCCATGTCCTCCGTGGCTCCTGCATCAGGACTCTGGGGCTGGTTTAGGGTCCCCCTGTGGCTGACATTTGTGAGCCGCTGGCTGCCCTGGTGACACTGTGCCTATTAAAACCATGGGGAGGCACATCTGCCCACGTGTGCCTTGTCATGCCGGCACAGCTGTAAGATGGCTGTGGCCACCGTGGGTGTATGCAGTGGCCGCCGAGAGAGGGCGCCCATGGGTCACCCCGTCTGACAACAGGGCTTACTGCTGCAGGAACCCAGCCTGGGACATAGCCATCCTCTTAGAATAGTGGGGATCAGGGTAAGAAGAATAGCTCCTTTCATTTATTCACTACTTATACATCCAATGACTGTCTACTACGCGCTGTTTTGTGACCAGCCGTTGTGCAGGGGATGGGGTGGTCTGTGAGCTCGCTACTGAAAACAGAGCCAGGATCATGTCCTATCAGTGAAGCTGTCCTGCAGCAAGTCCTGTGGACTTCCTGTTGTCTGTGACGCTCTGTCAGCACGCATGTGGGGCCAGGCTTGTCTGAACTGCGGCCCCTGGGGTGGGCCCAAGGTGTTCATCTGTGTGTGAGCGAGAGGCACAGCCCATACAGCCCAGTGCGTGAAAAGGTCCCGAGGAGGCTTGAGAGCTTCGGAGGAAGTCAGTGTGTAGAGAGTGACCGAGTTAGTCTCGTGTAGCCTGTGTGGTCTTATATTCCTGATCCCCCCGCCCCAATGCATGTGCCACTGCGCATGGCTGGAGACACCTCAAGTGCTTGGCAGATGCCTCTTACAGGTTGAGAACACCAACCACAAGGCATTGGTCTCTGGGCAGTGGAATCCCACGCCTTCCCCACTGTAGACCACTGCTCTCTGTATGCAGTGTGACAGCTGCTTGTGTGTGCATGCCTGTGTCAGTGTGTGTGTGCATGTGTGTATGGGTACATGTATGAGTACATGTGTTCATTAGTGTGTGTGTGTGTGCATGGGTGTTTGAGTACATGTGTTCATTAGTGTGTGTGTGTGTGCATGTGTGTATGGGTACATGTATGAGTACATGTGTTCATTAGTGTGTGTGTGTGTGTGCATGGGTGTTTGAGTACATGTGTTCATTTGTGTGTGTGTGTGTGCATGGGTGTATGGGTATGTGTTCATGTATGAGTGTGTGTCCATGTGTGGGTGGATGTACATGTATGAGTGTGTGTTCATGCATGTCTGTGCATGAATGTGTCAGTGTGGGTGTGTGTGTATGAATGCATGCATGATCATATGTGTTCATTACTGTGTGTGTGTGTGTGTGTGTGCATGGGTATGTGTTCATGCATGAGTGTGTGTTCATGCATGTCTGTGCATGAATGTGTCAGTGTGCGTGTGTGTGTATGAATGCATGTATGATTATACGTGTTCATTACTGTGTGTGTGTGTGTGTGTGCATGGGTATGTGTTCATGCATGAGTGTGTGTTCATGAGTATGCGTGCCTGAGTGTCACACACACAACTGAGTTCCAAGAATGGAGGGTGTCTCCAGTTCACATTCGTGCAGGCAGTAGGTGGGGGGGGGGTAGGGGGGTGTGGCAGGGGAGGCGTTTACTGAGCACCTGTGTGGACCCTGCACGCTGTGCTTGAATATGGAAAGGAGTGTGAGTCTGAGAGCTGGAGGCGACGCCAGCGGATGCAATTGGAACCCGAAAGCGTTTGCACCGTCTGTGCGGAAGGAACTCCGGAACCAAGCTGTCTTTCTGTGTCTCCCCAGCCCTGCAGAGACAGCCTGTGGGCACAGCCGCCTTCTCCCTGCTGCTTCTGCCATGGGCGAGAGTGGGCAGCCCATCCACCATGAACTGTGACCCTGCTGGCATTCCCAGGTGGCCCTGTGTCCCTCGCCCGGGACCTGACAGCCTGGGTAAGTGGGCGCTGGGGGCTGGGCTGGGTGTTGGGAAGGTGAGGTTGCCGTTGCCGGGGAATTTTCTGTCTGTCCTTTGTGTCCCATGTCCCGGCTGGGCGCGAGTTGTAGAATGGGGCTTTGAGAGACCACCATGACTCTGAAGTGAGCGTCCCAGGTAGGGCTCTGCCTGGGGACTGTTCCTATGGAAAGCGGCCGGCTCTTAGGCAGCTGAGTGGAGACAATGTTCTTGGTTTGGGGAGCTGGGATCTGTTAGCCCATGGGGTGTGTAATGAAGAGAAAAATGCCAGAATCTGTCTGCCTTCGTCTCCTGCAGTGAAGGAGCCACACGAGGCCTGGGAGGTCCTTGGGTAATCAGGACACTGTTTCCATCTGATCACCTGCAGGGGCTGCTGGGCCATCTCTGGGGCAGTCAGGAAGGGCTGGCTGTCATGGCCGAATCCTGGTGGGTTAAGGGCAGGGAGACTCAAAGGATGCAGGGCTGAAACTCAACTGTGTGCTCTTCAGTCATCACAGCACCCGGTGGGTGGAGGCAGGAGCTCAAAGTAGGGAGTTCGAGGTCAGCCTTGGCTACAGGAGATCCTGTCTCAGAAAGCAAAAACAAATAACAACAGAAAAGATCAGGCAGAATGGGTGAGGGAGGGAGGTGTGGTTCAGGGCCTGTCTTCTTCCACCAAACCCACCTGTCTGAGCTGCTGGGTGATTCAGGGTGGGGGCTGGGGTGGGGTGTGTGCCTCCTGCCTGAGGGCAGGTCTCAAAACTGAGCAAGTCAGGCCAGGGGCACCCTGGCCACTAGGAAGTGAGAGCCGCCTGCAGGGTGGACGGGCACGGGTAGAGAACCAGATGCACTAGGGCCTCTCACAATAAAGGGCTGGGCCTGGCTCAGCACGGGGCGTGTGCAGCAAGCGTGGAGTCCTGGGTCCCTTTCTCACCTCTGCAAAACCAAAAACCAGGGCACACAAGGAAGCTGGCGAAAACAGTTGTTCCATAGCAAAACCAACAGCAAATAGGTAACAGTAGGTGAAGTGAAAATAAAACAACCGCCACCTTCCTCCCCCCCCCAACTTTGGCTTTTATTAGTGCTCGAGGAGATAGATGGGAAGGAGGCAGCTGGCAGGGTTCCAGGGCTTTTGGGTGGCTTTGTGACCTGAGGGTGGTTGCTTACCCTCTCTGTGCTGGGTGATCATGCTGGGTTTGCTGGAGCTGGCCTCCAGACTGGCCGAGGTAGGCAAGGCCTCAGACCACAGGGCTTTGCCTGACCTCTCTGAACAAGAGCCCAGCAGGATGGCTGTGGGTCTGGAGCTTGCCCAATGAGACTGGACTCTGGGGCTCGGGGGCTCTGTGGGCTCTGTGGCTCTGGGGCTCTGGGGCCTCTGAGGGATCTGGGGCTCTGGGGGATCTGGGGCTCTGGGGGCTCTGGGGGCTCTGGGGCTCTGGGGGCTCTGGGGGATCTGGGGCTCTGGGGGATCTGGGGCTCTGGGGGATCTGGGGCTCTGAGGGATCTGGGGGATCTGGGGGCTCTGGGGATCTGGGGCTCTGGGGGATCTGGGTGCTCTGGGGCTAAAGTCTCTCTGTCTCATTCCCCCAGACCCTCACTCTGAGTCCTACAAATACATTTTGCTAAATTTACTGTTTAATTTTTTTTTTTTTTTTTTAAAGCAGTTGCCTCCACGTTTCTGGTGTGCTTAATCCTCATGGAGCTACATCCGTAACCATGGTGACGCGGGTCGAAGTTGGCTCTATAGCATCCCTGAGGGCGGGGCCGGGCCTTGGTGACATCAGCAGGGAGGAAGCCCTGAAGAGGTCCTACTTTTGCCAGACTGGAGACGCCCCTGGGGCTCCCTCCACTAGGCTCCTCAGAGCAAAGAGCCCCCTACGGACTCACCTGTTCCCTCTGCCCATCGCCCCCAAGCCTTTCCTTAAGGACCTTGAGAAGAAGGCTCCTGTCACATCTTCGTGGCCTGGTGCCTCCCAGTCCTGTCCCTCAGCTGAGACCAACAAGAAGGAAGCTAAAGAGAACGTGGCTAAAAGGATGCCGAGCTTAGCCGGCCAGGAGGCAGACAGCGGGGAGACCCTGCAGAATGGCCCGTCCGTCCCTAACAAGGCCACGTTCCTGAGGTCTGGCCCCAGCACCATGGGCCTCTTTGAAGCGACCAAAGCTGGATCCAGCCTAGGCAAAGGAACCAGTGAAGGGAACGGGGAGGCCAGCTCCCGGGCAGCCCAGGTGTCTTCTCCCTTAAGTGCCAGGCCTGAGGTGGCCGCCAAGCCTGCCCTCCCCGCCCGAAAGCCCTCAGTGACCGTGCCCAGACCAACCTCCCTGTCACGGGACTCTGGGTCCACTGTATCCCAGGAGGAGGCAGGCCAAGCCCAACCTTTGCCAAAGGCCCACAGTGTGGAGGACCCTGCTGGCCAGGCTCCAGAGGTCAAGCCTCGCCCGAAGAGACGGCCCATGTCGGCAGTGTTCAGCGACTACCTGCAGCCCCCCAAACCAGGCCCGGGTGGAGCGGCAGCCATGGGAAAAGTCCCTCCTATACCTCCGGAGAAGACGTGGGTGAGGAAACCCAGGCCCCTGTCTATGGACCTGACGGCTGTGTTTGAGAGTAGAGATACATTGCTGAGGAAGGCGGCCAGTGAGCAGAGCCCAGCAGAGGCCCAGGGCCCAGAGAGGACCAGCATGGAGCTCAGGGGCGATGCAGAGGGCCCTGCCTGCATAGACGCCACCCCTCAGGACCCGGATTCGGACTTCCAGGAGGTGGCCAAGAAGATCCACGCACGGAGGGAGAAGGCCCTTCTTAAGCAGACAGACGCAGACAGTCCCAGGACCCCCAGGGCCAGGGCTGTCCCTGGAGACGATCAGAGTCCCCAGGCTGAGGGAAAACCAGACCAGCAGTCACAGAAGGCGCTGGAGTCCCCTTTGCCCAGGCCAGGAAGAGGCCTGGGGCTGGCCCAGGTCAAGGGTGGCATGTCCAACCAGGAGGCTCCTGCAGGGATGGAGAGGAAGTCTGCCGGGAGCATCAGGAAACGCCTCAGCCTGTTTGAGGAGAGCAGCACTGTGGCCTCCGCAGAGCTGTCTGAGCCCTCCCCTGTGACCCCCGAGTCCCCGTCCACAGTGCCAGAGACTGAGAGAGCTGGTGTGAATGTTCAGGCTCGGATCAAGGGCTGGACTGTGGAGAGCGCAGGGGTGAAGCCAGAGGTCAGGAGAAGGGCCTCTCAGGGGCGGCCATTGCCTGCCGATTTGACCAAACTGTAAGTGTACACGTCCCAGAACTTCGCTTAACCCTCAGGCTGCCTCAATACCCCCTGGCGAACCCAAGGCTAGCCCTACAACTACACACAAGCCAAGGCCAGCCCAACAACTATACACAAGCCAAGGCCAGCCCAACAACTATACACAAGCCAAGGCCAGCCCAACAACTACACACACACACACACACACACACACACACAAGCCAAGGCCAGCCCAACAACTACACACACAAGCCAAGGCCAGCCCAACAACTACACACAAGCCAAGGCTAGCCCAACAACTACACACAAGCCAAGGCCAGCCCAACAACTACACACAAGCCAAGGCCAGCCCAACAACTACACACAAGCCAAGGCCAGCCCAACAACTACACACAAGCCAAGCTAGCCCAACAACAAGCCAAGGCTAGCCCAACAACTACACACAAGCCAAGGACAGCCCTACAACTACACACACACACACACACACACACACACACAAGCCAAGGCCAGCCCAACAACTACACACAAGCCAAGGCCAGCCCAACAACTACACACAAGCCAAGGCCAGCCCAACAACTACACACAAGCCAAGGCCAGCCCAACAACTACACACAAGCCAAGGCCAGCCCAACAACTACACACAAGCCAAGCTAGCCCAACAACAAGCCAAGGCTAGCCCAACAACTACACACAAGCCAAGGCTAGCCCTACAACTATACACAAGCCAAGCTAGCCCAGCAACAAGCCAAGGCTAGCCCAACAACTACACATAAGCCCAAGGCTAGCCCAACAACTACACACATACCCCACCGTTGCCCCAAGGGGAGGAGATGGTAATGATTGCTCTCAGAGGAGGCACAGAGCGTGGGGGCATCCCTAGCACTGGGCTCAGTCGGTGCTTACCCTGGGAGCGCAGTGGGAAATGAGGTTCCCGGTTCACAGGTGTGGGTAAGAAGGCAAGGTGCTGTGGTAAAGCTGGATCAGTTCCAGCTCAGCCTGGCTCTGTGGCTAAGCTGTCCCCAGGGTCACACTGCCTTTTAGATTAGAGCAGGGATGACCTGTGCCTCAGTGGCAGACTACCCACTCAGCATATGCAAGGCTCTGGGTTCTGCCCGCCTGTCCCCAGCATCCCCCCCCCTCTCCTGCCCTTTCCCCCCTCTCCATCTCATTCTCTGTATGTGTGTGTGTGTCTTACACACACACACACACACACACACACACACACAGAGATTAGGCTTCAGTGTCCATGAATGTATTGAAAAATAAAACCAGCAGAGCCCAGATAACCAGGGCCACCTTCTAATCTAGCCCAGGCTGCTTCAAATTCTCTAGGTAGCTTAGGATAACCTTGAACTCCATGTCCTGATTCTGTAGGGCTGGGATTGGAACCCCAATTCCCTTTAATCCCAGCACTCAGGAGACAGAGGCAGGCAGATCTCTGTGAATTCAAGGCCAGCCTGGTCTACAGATCCTGTTCCAGGACAGCTTCCAAGGCCACAGAGAAACCCTGTCTCGAAAAAAAAAACAAAAAAAACAAAAAAACAAACAAACAAACAAAAAAAAACAAAAACACCCACCCAATTCCACCAGGACCTTCCATCAAAGATGAGAGAAAAACTTTGACAGAATGTGGGCAGTGTCCTCAGGGAGGAGACCTCAGCCTGGGATCCCTCAGTGCACAGTCATCAGCCGAGGTCAAGGCCAACACTTACTGTGCCACACAACACCTGCCACCCTGCCGGCCTTGTCCTCCACTGTGGCCGAGGCAGGGAGATGTCTCCACGCCTGCTCTGCCCACTCCCCAGTACCCTGCTCACGCCTACATGCTTGCACTAGGGTGAACTCATCGCCCTGGGAGCTGGTGCAGCCAGGGGCCAGAGTTAACCCTTAGGGTGCAGGGAATGAAACCCAGGTCATCAGACTTGGCAGCAAATGCCTTTACCCCGAGCCATCTCACACCACGCCTCGGGGATGCTGGTTCACTGGTTTATACGCTAGGGAGATTTTTGGAAGAGATATTCCCAAGCTAAAACAGCAGAGATGCCTAGGGTCTTAGTATGCTATCCGGGTGCCTGGGCGGGGCCACGTGATCATGTGACAGGTGGGAAACTGAGTCTCAACATGCTCACGGCCCTCCCTGCAGTGTGGATTGCCTGGTGGGGATCAGGTTCAAATGTTTCGGAACTCGCACACCCTCTTTTATTTTTAACTTCCTTTTTCTTCTGAAGCCCCCAGCCCTGAACCTTAAACACTTTATAGACATGTCATGCCTCACGTTCAGGCCTGTGCTACACAGAGCGTGATGGGGGGGGGTGAAAAGATTCGAACCCCCTCTCCTCCTTCCCCTCTATAAGTAGGGAAACTGAGGCTCAGAGAGGAGAAGGCAGACTCGTGTGTCCCCACTTTACACGGCGACCCACGCCCCCCCCCCCCGTCCGTCCGTCCCAGGTCTCGTGGCAGCTCCTTGGCGGTGGGTGAATATTGTGCCCGCAGCTGCTACGAACCATTAATTATCCCGCCTGGGGCTTCTCCGGCCTTCCCTGAACGCCTTCACGGAGTTATCAGGGTCATGGCTTGCCTCTTATGTCTGCCCTATAAAAGAGGGTGGTAGGCGTTAATTAACCCTGCTTCACAGATGAGGAAATAGAGGTGTGGGTGAAGCTACAGGCCACCAGGCTCCCACAGGAGGAAGTGGAGCTAGGATCAAGGGCAGCACCCAGGCACCTGCTGCTCTTCTCCACGCAGACATGCTCTGCCTAAGGTGCGCCCGCCCCACCACGTCCCTGTGCCCCCTGACTTTCTCAAAGGAAGTTGGGCAGGTGGCCAGGCGTATGCCTTCCTGAGGGCACTGAGGGCTTCGGGGAGTCGAGGCTTGTCGTTCTGCTGTGTGTGAGTAACTCCCATCTTTGTCCCAGGTTCTCACGGTCACCTTCCAGCAGTGAGGTCGGATACGAGAAGTGTGCCGTGCTTGCTGATGAGCTCTCCGGGGAGAGGGGAGGAAAGGTAAGCGAGATCTTCCCCATCTCAGCTAGGAGAAGTTTGTGACCTGCCTGCCTGCCAGGTCCGGGCACAGAGCGTCAGAATCTTGTCACCCTTGCCTGGCAGATTAGAGTCCCTGACACCTTGGGTTGTGAGTTCCTGCATCTCCGGGATTGGGGGTGTGGAGTTGAAGGCACAGAAGTGGCTGAGGGGCATTTATTTATTTACTTACTTATTTGTTTGTTTCTGTGCAAAAAGTTAGAGGGTTTTTTTTTTTTTTAAGTGCTTTTATTCAAGCCTCTGGAGTCAGAGGCAGGCGGACCTCTGTGCGTTTGAGACCAGCCAAAGTCTTGTCTCGAAAAAACACAAGAACTTGGGAGAAACTTCGCCTGGCTCCCTCTTTGAGATTCTTCCCCTAAGCTTGGCAGCCGGTAACAGAAGCAGTTCAGGTGCCAAAAGCCTTTGCTCTTTGCTCTGGATCGCAGGACAAAGCTCCGCCCAGTCGTGTGCTCACACAGCCGGCTTGATGTTTTTATTTTCTTTTGACACATCTTTGCTGAGGTGCAAGTGACGGTCATAAAAGAATGTGGCGTTCAGATGCCCAAATGGATGAGCTCCCTGCAGCCGCTGCCACACAAGGTGGCGAACATCAGCACTGCGCCCAGACACCACCCCTGCCTCTGATGCCTCTGGCCTTCCTTCCCCCAAGCAGCCGCCACCAGCTTTCTCTCTGTTGAGACAGGTTTCTACTTAGACTTTCAGACCGATTGGGCTAGCCATGGACATGCTCCTGTTTACTCAGCCCTTATCTCCTCCCTTAGAACCCTGTGGTTGTGAGACTGGTCAGGTTCTTGCCCGTTTTATCGCTGTGTTGTAATCCCATCCCAGAGGTGGGCCTCAGTGGGCTTTGCTGTCACGGGAATGGTTTTCAGTTTGAGCCATTAGAAATGAAGCTGTGCCCGGGTGTGATGGTGGATGCCTGTGACCCCTGTGTACAGGAGGCTGAGGCAGGAGGGTTATGAATTCTAGGCCAGCTTGAATATGAACGCATACGACCTGTGTGCGTGCACATATACACACACACCAAAAAAAAAAAAAAAAAGAATGAATCTGTTGTGAACATTTAATGAATACATTGTAAGTCCCTCCCTCTCCTTCCCTGCCCCCCCCCATGTGATCTCATGTAGCTCAGGCTGCCTTCAAACTGACGGTAGCTGGGACCTTGAATTTCTGCTCCCTTGCCCCCCCATCTCTCAAGGGTGAGGATTACGGACGTGCATCTCCACACCCGGTTTTGTGCCGGGCTGAACTTGGAGCCCAGGGCTTTGTGGATCTTGGCTGGGACTCTACTGACTGATCCACACCCGTAGCCCAATTTGTTTTAGTTTTTTCTTTCGGGTAGCCTGGCCAGGCCATGCATATCTCTGAATAATAGACCAAGAGCTTCTCCAAGGCCCTCTGTGCCCCTCTCAGTGAGTCCCCAGGGAAAGGAGCTGGCGTGGAAGGGCAGTGATGGCTGCTCTGATGGTACCCTAGAGGCTGCAGCCATGCAACAAGGGGTCTCCGAAGGCTGGGACTTGATACAGGCTGCCCTTAAATTTCAGGGCTTGGCTTCAGGGGCATTCGGTTTCTCTGTAAGTTTTGACTATTCAAAAACTCTCAAGAAAGAAGAAGTTAATAGTTCCCCACTTTTCATACAACCAGGGGTCATCTCTGTAGGAGATGTGCTGTTTTTTTAAAAATTGTGGTTAAAAACAACATGGGAAGCCTTGATGGGTGTAGCCTGGGATACTTAGCAGAACCCTTCGGTCTCTGAGACACCCGCTACTTCATCTGCACTCCTCAGCCTTTAGTTATTTTAAGGTGGGGGTTGGGAGATGGATCGGTGGGTGTAGTGTTTGCTATGGGAGCCTGGTGACCTGAGTTCGAATCCCACACCCATGAAAAGGCGGAGTGCAATAGAACACCCACAATTCTAGAGCTGAGGCTGTGGAGACACAGCGATGTCTGGGGCTTGCTGGCCAGCCAGTCTAGCTGAATCGTGGGCTCCAGGTTCTGTGGGAGACCCCATTAAGCTGGGCGGAGGGCAACTCAGGGAGACACGGTTGCTGACCTTTGGTCTCCATGAGTGTGCGTGTGTACACTCACGAATGTGTCTTTATAATGCACACTTCTTACAGTGTTTTGCTGGATTCTTTTTTTTAATTAAAGTGTAATGTTTTTAAAAATTACTGTGTGGAGGGAGGGGATATGTGTGCCATGGCATGTGGTCAGATGCCACCTTGCAGCATCCGCCCGCCCAGCTTCTAGGGACAGGACCCAGGTCACCAGGCCGGGTGGCAGGTGCTTTCCGGGTTGAGCCATCTGAAGGGCTCCTTGCTGCTTTAACAGCAGCCACTTCATCCGTTCCTGACCGTTTCAAATCCTAATGTTGTCTTTGGTTATTTTTCAGCCTAAGGAAGGGCATGGTTTGGATGGAGCCACTGCTACAAAAAGTCCCTGGAAGTCTGGAGTACCTCAGAAGTCTAGGCAGACCGAACCCAAAGATGCCTCTGACCGGGAAGACCCTGACCAGTATCCGCGTGTGCGCTCAACAGGAGACCCGGGCCCTTCTGAAGTCAGTCCGGAAGATGATGGGAGCTTCCAGAAGGTGTGGGCCACGGTATTTGAGCATCATGTGGAGAGGCACACAGTGGTTGACCAGGCAGGCCGCTGTCCCTCACCAACACCCCCTCATGACACGGCTGACATCCCGGATCCCAAACCCAGGCCTGAGAAAGGCTACTGGCTAGGGAAGGACCCTCCAACAGTGATGAACAAGAGAGACAGCCCCGGGTGGTCCGACCATGCCGACCCAGGGATGCTGGGACGAGCCGTTCTTGTGGATGTGGAGCCGAGGCAGTATCCCACATCTGTCCCTGAGGCGCACCCCATGGGAGGAGGGCACAGTGGTCACCCCGTCCTGAGGCGTCTGGAAAGTCCCCCGGTGTCCCAGAGGATCCAGCCCAAGTATGACATTGTGCATGCCTCAGGGGAACGAGCTCACAGCGAAGCGGTTTCCAGGGTGCCCGAGGAGAAGGCGGTGACGCTGCGCAGTGGCAGACCCCGGCGCTCGCTGCAGGGCCGGCAGCTGTCCCAGGAGGTCAGCTGTACTCACCTGGAGTATGCTGTGCAGGCTCATGGGGGCGCCGTCCAAAGGGCAAGTTCAATGTGGGAAGCTCGGGGCCTGGGACCTAGTGGGCCAAAGCTAGACTGTCAGCAGCCAAGGGATGGATTTGGGGGTGGTTGCCCGTCCTCCAAATGGACAGGGGAAAGGGCGGTGGCAAGCTGGCACAGTACCTCTGTGGTCAGCAAAGATCTCAGTGCCCCCCACAGGGGTCCATCCTGGGATGGCTCTTCAAGTCCTCCATCCAGGGCCACCATCGAGCCCGGTGACTCCCTAGGACGGGAGAGACCGGACTCATTGTCTCTGCCGGAAAGTCCCCTTGAAGTTGCCTGTGAGGATGACCCAAGGCTGGTTCAGGCATTCCCGCCCGAAGTCAGGATGCGGCGATCCAACCCTTCAGAGCCGAGGATGGACAGGTGGAGGCGGCGGACTCTGCCCCACGATGTGAAGTTTGACACATTCAGCCTCCTCACGCCAGAGAACACTTCCAGAAGGCAGCAGAGACCTGCAGATGACGCGACCTCCCCAGCCTGCGCCTTACAGAGGTCTCCGTTGTCCCACCACCAGGCACAGACTCAGGAGGTGGCGCCAGGTGCCTCGCAATGTAGGACTTACCCAGTGGAGAAGCCGGGGCCATCTGCTGAGCCCAGTGCAACTTTCTTTGCCGTCACTTACCAGATTCCTGATATTCAGAAGGCCAAGAGTGTTGTTAAGCCAGGGCCTGGAAATGTGTCGGAACCTTCTAGGAGAATGGCTCCCCCTCTGTCTCCTCGCTCTTCCGTGACCACTGTGGTTTCTCCTAGCCTTGAAGAGCCATGGGCTCCTACCAGCAGTAAGGGCTTGGCTAAGGGGAGAGAATATGAAGAAGTAAAGAACCTTCCAAAGTCCCCAAAGGCCACAGATCAGCCGTCATCTGCTGCAGACAGGACTCTGGGTCCTCCCAGGGACAGAGTCATTGATGTGGATGCTCTGGGGACTCATCGAGGCTCAGAAGATGGCACTGTGAGGGATAGCAGGATCAGGGCGTCCTCGGGAGTGGATGCCCCACAGACCTCCCCGGTCCTGAGGCGCCCCAAAAGCCTCCTGGTTAGAAGGAGAACAGAGGTGATCAGCGAGACGTTCCCAGGGAAGATGAGAGACGGCTACAGGTCTGGCGTCCTTGACATCGATGCTCTAATGGCCGAGTACAAAGAACAATCAAGCAGGGTCCCCAGCAAGGTCCAGGAGCAGAGGGACAGTGGCTCTCCTCAGGAGAGATCAGGTTGGCCCAAAGAAGCGGAGTGGAGACAGAGGAGCCTGAAGGACGCTCCCTGGTCAGACAGTGTTGGGAGACAAGCAGGGGCCTCGGTGAAAACTCCCAAGTCCCCTGGCCCTAGCAAGCAGCCGGCAGAGCCCCCAGCGACAGCCATGACCACCAAGTCTGGCCTGCCACTATGGGCACCGCCACAGTCGGCTTCTGCGGAAAACTCTTCTCCACCCTCCCCCGTCCCTGCTGCCTCCAGGAGACAGTCCTCAGGCATCACTGAGTTTGAAAGCAAGCCCTCCTCCAGTGACCACCAGGAGACAAAGTATAAGCAAGGCCCAGCCAAGTCCCAGGACGCGGGCAGGGGGGACAGAATCTCCCCCAGGTCACCTCCCTCTGACCAGAAGAAAGGGACGCCGAAGAGATGCACTGGTCCGGTAGTAGACGGCAATGGGGTGCAGCGAGGAAACCCTCCACGTGGCTGCATTTCATCGCCGCTGGACATCAAGAGGGCCTGCTCAGAGAAGGGCCCACCAGCCAGGGTCCTGGAGGGCCTGTCCATCATGCAGGACGCCAGGCAGCGTAGACAAGAGCAGCCCCGAGGGAAGCCAGCTCTCCCTGCTGAGACTCCCAGGGCCACACCGGGGCCCTGCCGAAAGGAGGCAAGGAAGCCAGATGGCCTTAAGGTGAATACAGAGATGCTTTTAATTCTGTCATTTCTTTCATTCATTCATTCATTCATTCATTCATTCATTCATTCATTCATCCATCCATCCATTCGTTTGGTTTTTCAAGATAGGGTTTGTCTGTGTAACAGCCCTAGCTGTGTCTGTAGACCAGGTTGGCCTTGAGCTTCACAGAGGCCCACCTGACTCTGCCTCCCTGGGATTAAAGGCTCGTGCCACCGTAGCCCGGCCCGTCGCTTTAATCTTAATGTTGTTTAAGCATGTGTATCTGGGGTCTTAAGCTCAGGGTCGTGGGCTGTGTAGTAGGTGTGTGACTAATAGGAGGCAGGCCTCGGCACCTCTCTAGGCAGTGACGGGGATGTGGGAACTCACTTGGGCAAACCACCAAGACAGGCGTGCGTGCCTTCCTCTGGACTCTTCGGGTTTCTGTTTCTCTTTATTTTCCCTCCCTATTCCTCCTTTTACTGGACAGGGCATGAGAAGCTAGTTCTTAGCCCCAGCCACAGCCCCTGGCTGTGACAATGTTGAGAAAGTGACATCACTGGCTCAGAGAAATCCACATTTTCAGGTGGATTTTCCCGTGAAACAAGATGGTTTCTTAGAAAACGCCACTTCCACCCCAGCCGAGCTCGTCCCCTTCTCTGTCTGCTTGGCCCGGGATGTGGGTTGGAAACTTGGCCTGGGATGAGGATGGGAATGAGCGTTTTAGCATCGTGTAGTGCCTGCCCTATGCCAGCTTCTCCACCGTCTTCACCAGAGCTGGCAACAACCACGTCAGCTTCCAGAAAGTCTGGCAAGTGAGTGAATGATTGTAAGGAGCCCACCGAGTCTTACCCCAGTTCTGGGTTTCCTGAGTCAGAGCCTGTCTTAGGAGTCTCAGGTGGCCTGAGGGACTGATACCAGTGTGAGCAAATGAGACTTGGTGCCCTGGGAAGCCCCTGGTCACATGATTGAGTTGACCAGGTCAAGGGTCAGAGGGCCAGAACTGTGCATTTTCTACTTCGATTGTTCTCTAAGCCTGTGTCTGAGGCTTTGAGTGTGAGACTTCACCATTCTGATTGGACAGCAAGGCCGTCTGCACACAGTAGGACATACAGAGTAGGACATGCGCACAGTAGGACATGCGCACAGTAGGACATGTGCACACAGTAGGACATACGCACAGAGTAGGACATGCGCACAAAGTAGGACATGCGCACAGTAGGGCAGCTTTTTTTTTTAACCAGGTCACGTATTTGTCCTGAGTATTAGGGAGCTGCCAAGGTCTGCTACAGGTGTGAAATAGGTGGGAAAATGCACAACACAAGAACAGGGCTCAGAAGGCCTAACCTAGTACAGCTCACACAGCAAAAAGCGAAAGATGCTTGGGCCAGATGCCTATGAGATGATGACGGCCAATGTGGTAAAAGAGGGGAGGAAATCTGAAGCCCAGAACAGTCCTTGGAGACATGGGGCGATGGGGCGATGGGGCCCTGGAAGGCAAGGCCAGGAAGTTACATGATGCTCAGTGAGCTGCTGGAGGGCAGAGCCAGGAAGGCACCCTGGAGGAGGCAATGGATTCAGCCAGTCCCTGAGGAGACGCTAATTGATGGGTGAGCGGGGGAGGGGTTGTGCTGGCATGGCCACAACAGGGACAGAGGCCTGGAGGCTGGAGCAGCCCCACATCGCTATTGCTTAGTGATTCAGCCGGAGGCAGCAGCCCAGTCTGCATGGCGTTTTCTGCTGTAACCAAACACCACAGACTGGATACTTTCTGGAGAGACTTGTTTCCCACAGTTCTGGCCACCGTGAACCGTCAGCTCACGACTGGCTCCTTCCTGGCGCCCCCTTCCATATTACCCTGGAATTTCAGGTCGCCTTGTCTTCCAAGCAGAGCACAGCCGAGAGTTGCAGCAAAGTTCCTCATCCCCAGATGTGTGGGAGAGGAATCCGAGGGTCTAGCCTGGCTGGGCCTCGAGGCCTGCTGCACAAAGGGGCTGTGAGTGGAGTCAGTGGAGGCCACACCAGTTGAGGATTCTTGAGTTATGGCGGGGAGTGTGGTGGATGGGGCTTTGAAGCTGTGTCTCTCCTGGAGAGCTCAGGCTTACTGAGTGCCACGTGCGAACCCTCCATGCTTGCCATGGAACTTCCTGGTGCCTCTGTGCCCGCACCACTCAGGACTGAGGACAGTTCCCTGCCCTAAGCCCTGCCATGGGGAGTTGCAGCTCTGTGCTTCTGTGAGGGCTACCCAGCTCACCCTCCCTCTGTTACTGCAGGAGCAGCCTGTGGGGAAGAGCTGTGGAATGTGACACTTCCTCAGCCAGCCCGCACCTCAGGGCGGAGGACAGGGGAGCCAAGGCTGTGGAGGGGCCCTGGAAGCCGGCCCCAGTGCCCAGGCCCCAGGAGGGCTGGTTGTCAGGGATCAGCTTTCTCCAGGCTGAGGGATGGAGAGGCAAACTTTCTGCTTTCCCTTTCTCTCCTGCCTGAAGGCCTTGGCTTTGTTCGCTTTGGGGCCAGGGTCTCCCGGAGCACAGGCTGTCCTTGAGTCCAGCCCCTCCTGCCCCTCCTGCCCCTTACCTGAGCTTACTTGCCTCACTCTGGTTCTTGATCTTAAAAACAAGCAAATGAGAGAAAACAGGTGGGCAGTGGTGGCGCACGGTGGCCCCATGCAGAGTGAGCAGGGCGCATTTTGACCTGCTCTAGAGCCAGGGACGTGGGGGATATGGTCAGTGGGAAACACCCCAGGGCTCTGGGGGCTCCTGCACTTTGTGGGGTGGTTAGTAAAGACATGTCACTATAGGCCCAAGCATGGGGGTAAGAAAGAGTGCTCATGCCATGGTGACTGTGAAGTTGTTCCTCGGGTCCCATGTCTGCACTCCGTGCTCCGCTCTGAACTCTGTTAGATGCAGTCAGCATGTCTGCTGTCACTGTGGGAGAGTGCTCAGCTCAGTTCCGCCCATCTACTGACAGTCACCAGAGCACAGGGCCATGAGGACATGATTTTTAATGCGCATTGATTATTACTGCCTGTGCATGATATGAGAGGGCGGGGACATGTGTGTCACGGTGCGTGTGCCGGTCAGGAGTCCGTTCTCTCCTCCTACTTTACAAGGGTCGTCAGGGTTAAACCCAGATCACCAGGCTTGTAAAAATCCACCTTTACCCCACTGAGTCACCTCACCGGCCCCTTTTTATTTTTATGTTTATTTTCAGGGTGGGGGCGGTGCATGGGGAAGTCAGAGCAGAGCTTTATACAGTCCATCCTGGCCCTCCATCGAGGGGAATCGAACTGCATGTGACCCCACTTCAGGAAAGGTCCTTGGGGAGATAAAATGTGGAATATTATTCAGTTATAAAAAGAGTAATGCTCTAGCCAGGTGTGGCGAGGCATGCCCGTCGTACCAGCATTCTGGTGACTGAGGCAGGAGGATGGCAGATGGACTTGGTATCTGTGGCTCCTAGTGACTCTCCTTGGCCTGGTATCATCCTGTGCTCTCTTGGCTGTTGCCATAATTCTTTGGAGTAATTACTGTTTGGATCCTGCTCCATTTCCCGTTGAGTTATTGTTGTTGAGTTGCCATTGCTCTTTATATGTTGTGTGTGTTGAGTGCAAGATGAATAATTTGAGGAACCTCTCTTCCTTTCTGTGAGTGGACCCTTCGTCACTCTCTTCATGGTGTCCTTTAAGCACACATGTTTTTCAGTTTCTCTCTCACTTTTTAAAATTATTTAGTATGCATGCAGTGTTTAGTCTGCACGTATCTCTGCAGGCCAGAAGAGGGCGCCAGATCTCATTACAGATGCCTGTGAGCCACCATGTGGTTGCTGGGAATTGAACTCAGGACCTCTGGAAGAGCAGCCAGTGCTCTTAACCTCTGAGCCACCTCCCCAGCCCCTCTTTTTCTTGTGTGTTACTTGTGATTTTTGTGACGTACCTTGGAAACCACCGGCTAATACGAGGCTGTGGAGAGTGGTGGTCCATGTTTCCTTCTAAGATTTTCCATTAAGATCTTTGTTGGCTTTGGACCAGGGTGTGGAGTTTGGTTTGTTTGCTTTTGCTTTTGGTGTACAGGAAATTACTTAATTTTATGGTTAATTAATATTTACGACGGCAGAAGAGTCTGATGTGTAGTCTACCCGCAGCTCCCTTCAGTAAGTTGAGTTCGTGTCCACAGGAGCCCTTCAACTTCAGGATGAAGGGTCTGTTTAAAGATTTAAAAAGTAGCCTGGGAACCCTTGGCCATTCTTGGTCTCAGTTCAATACATTTTATTCTTTTTGTTGGGTGTTGAGGTTCTGAACGCCGTAGTCTAGATTGGCCTTTGAAACTGGGTTCCAGCACGGACGGGTGGACTGAAGTGTGTGTGGGATTATCTGATGCCACAGGGGCAGGAAAATGACCCCAGCAGAAAGGACACAGTAGCGGAAGAGAAGGCTCAGTGCAGGGTTAGTCAGGGTGTTGAAGGGATTCGAGAAAGTAGCCAGGAAGAGAGGGCGAGCTGGTGCAGAGGGGGTGCAGAGAAGTCAAGAGCAGGAATAAGAGGAAAGGGACTAGCCTTGCCCTTCCTGATGCTGTGTGTTGATAACCAGTTACCTGCCCTCTCTGGGCCTCCTGGCTTATCCGTGTAGAGTGTGTGTCATGCAAAACTTCCTGGACTCCTGAGTTTGCTAGGCCATGTGAGTTCCTCAGAGAGGAAAACACTGCAGGATTCAGACTGCATACCCTTGGGCTTTTCCCTCTTCCTGCCTTTTCTCAGGGTGTGCGTTTGGGTCCAAACTAGGACCATGGGATCACCATGGGTAATGATGGGGCTGGCAAGCTGGAGGCCCAGGGGACTAGGTTCACGAGCCAGGCACACTGCCACCTGGTGGCTGGACTATGCCGCACAGGTTCTGGGCCCCTGCCTCTGTTTACTTACTCTTGAAGCTGTTGATATTGTTTCCGCCCATACGGTTGAGGTCAGAGAGGTTAAGGAATTGCTTGAGGTCACACAGCTGTGAACCTGGGCCACTTGGGCCCAAGGCCTCATACCCAGATATTAACCTGTGACCATGATGGTGTGAAAGGGCTATGCCACACCTGTCCTGTACATGAAAGGCTCCCACTAAAATCCCTTTCTTGTGTTCTCTGTCTCAGGTGCCTCTGCAGAACCCAGAGCAGGGGGAAGGTCTGCAGGATGGCCGGCAGTCTCTCGGGCAGGTGACCCCTGTAGCCTCTGTCCCCAGGCGGAGTCACAGCTTTTGCAAGGACAAGAGGAGCGGCGGTCCTTTCGTGGTGAGTGGCAGTTGCATGGCTGGGGAGGGACTTGTGGGCATCGTTGGAAGATTTCTGTGGATGTGTGTGGAGGGTTCAGGTGCCTGGAGACTGAGTGGCCCATTTAGGATTGGGTTCCCAGAGCCTCTGTGCTGGAGAACCCTTGCTGCTCTTGGGTTTTTGGCAGTAGGTGGCGCTGTAACTTAGCAGCTGGCCAGTGGAGGTTGATGAAAGTCTTGGGTTTGAGTCACAGCAAAAATCCTTGAGATTTTGAGAGTTTAGTGCCCTTTGATTTTCTCTGCGGGGAAAGCTGGGTTAGTGACTGGATTCCTGTTGTCGGCGCTGGTTTGAAGATGGAGTTGAATCCTGAGGGAGCCAGTCCAGAGAAAAATGTACCCCATGGGGGACATTTGGAGGATGCAGAAAGCCACTCGAGACTTGGGGAGCCACGATCACCATACATACGTGTCCTCTGTTCTTGTCCATGTAGTGGGAAGATGAGAGCCCCAGCTTCACATGGCTGGTGTGGGCTCTGAAAAGGTGACACAAGGGGGACTTAGCCTGGTTCTGAGCCCCAGGGGACACGTGGCCACACTGCCTGGCTGCAGGCTGTTGGCTGTGTCTCTGTGGCTGTCCCTTCCTCTCCCGGCCTTCATGCTGGCTTAGGAAGGACTTGAGGGAAGGGCCATGCTTCTTGGGAAGCCTTTGACCCTGGGAGCCACCCAGGTGGCTCCGATGGTTTTGTTGATGTCTGTGGCGCCTGTAAATGGACTGAGTTCTTTCTTTGCTTGGAACGTCCCTGGCAGGCGCGGCCCAGGGTGGTGTGAATTCCCTCACATACCCTTCCACAACTGTGGTCTAGGGAGAGAGTTCCCTACTCAGAGCCTCGGTGTCTTCAGCTGTAAAATGGGGGGATTTGCTGTTATTATAGGGTGGAGTGATGGGGGGGGTGCCGGTCTGGGGCCTGGTGGGAGATCTCCGGAGTGACTCTGGTAGCCTTACAGGCATGTGACACTTGACCTCTGAAAGTTCCCTTCCTCTTCGGATGCCCTTGTCTCCAGTGCCTCTCAGGTGGTGCCGCCTCCTTATCTGATCCAGTGTGACCGTCGTCTGTGTGTGCCTGTGAAGTGAAAGGTTATGGGAGAAAAGGTGTGGAACCGTGTATGGCCCCTGGCCTGTGGGAGTGCTCCCTGGCTGCAGGCTCCTCCCCTTTCCTCTGTGTCCTGGAGGACCCTCAGGAGTCCTGGGTGGCTTGCCTTGAGTCTCCTGTGGCCTGCCTGAGGTCTGTGGGACTTCCTCTCCTGCAGATGGAAAAGGCAGGGGCCCAGCCTGCAGGACTGGGCTCTCTCTGGTCTCATGCCTGCGGTGTTGGGAAGCAGCCACAAGGGGGCAACAGTGCCCAGCCCCTCCTGGCTCCTCCCACAGCCTGTGATGGACAGGGTAGACCTAGAGAGTCTGAAAGGAAAGACCAGCTCAGCGGCTGTGGTCTCTGGGGACTCAGGTTGGGATGAGGCTGTGACCTCTGACCTCTGGGGACTGAGCTTCCCCTTCTGTGGGACAGAGCTGGTCGGATCCAGAGCAAATGATGGCTCCTCCCTCCCCGCCCCTCCTCTCCTCTCCTCCCTTTCTTTGTGTCTGTTCAACCCTGCAGAAATGGGGAAACTGAGGCCCACAGAGAGCGTTCAGCTTGGTTAGTTCGGCCTTCCAGGTGGCAGCTGTGAGTTCACCTGTCAGTCTCCCCCTCCCCAAGCCCTGCCAGCCCCCTTCAAAGCCTCTCCAGGGAGGGGACTCAGCTGGGGCTCAGCCAAGGCTGGCTCTAAGCCATCCTGGGGCCCCAAGAGTTGATTGAGTGAGTGACTCTGCTTGGCCTCGCCCACTGCTGCCAGTCCTGGGACTGCCCACTGGCTGCCCTGTAGGGTGGAGGTAGACAGGCCACCCGGTTCCGCCCACACTGGGTGCCGGCCTCAGAACAGCTGCTTGCTGCTGTCACAGCTGGTCTCCACCCGGACAAGTTGTCCTACTGTGAAAGGAAAATGTCCCCCATCCTGAGGAGTTCTGCCGAGGCCTGGGAGGGCAAACGTCTTTTCCCGGTCCCGTGCATCTTCCCACGGGTGTGGTGTCCCATCTGCCCACGCCCTATGGTCTCCTAGGGGTTACAGAGCACGATGACTCAGTGTGGACCCTGACCCAGGGCACAGTTTACCCAGCGGCCCCTCCTGTGACCATCAGGTCATAAGTCAGCAGTTATGGGATTCTCACAGTGGCACAGACCTCTGGAAAGTCCAAACACAAGCTGGCACTCCCTGGCTTGTGTAGCCACGTGTCCATTTTTTCTCGTGTTCGCTGTGTGAGAAGCCTGGGTGGTCTCAGACTTGGGGTCTGTGGTGCAGGGATGCTGGGCCATGTCTGGATTTAGTCAGCTTTTAAGATCCAGGCTGCTGGGGGGGGGGTGCAGGGCTCAAAGAGGCGAGGCCAGGCTGGAGTGCAGGGACAGGCAGCCGGGAGCCTCCAGTAACCTGCTGTACGGAGTGGGTGAGGCAGGACCATGCACTGGGCGTAGGGACGGGGGTGGGGGTGGACTGGGGTGGGTGGGGTGGCGGCAGCAGGGTTGAGCAGGCCCTGGCTTGTGAGGTGAGGGCAGCACCTTCCAGCATCGGCCGCCTCCTGTCTTTTTTCTTTTCCATGTCTGGGTGTGGAGGACTAGGGTCAGTGACCTCAACTAGGGCTGACCACAGTTCATTTCTAGATTGAACCAGCCACACCAAGGTTTGTCTGCTAGAGGTCAAGGCATTCTGCCAGCTGTATCAGAGGTTTTATACTGGGGTATTTTGTGTTCACCCGTGTTCCTAATGCTCACCCACTCAGATATGCATGCTTCCACCCACCCACCCTCCCATCTGTCCATCACTCATCCGTCCGCCCATCCACCCACATGTCTTGCCTGACTTATCAGTTTATGTGAAAATCCAAAGTGCTCCCATTTCTAGACTAGGAGCGAGTAGCCGCACACCCAGTGTGATGACCATGTCCTGTGTTTTTCTGCCCACTCATCCACTGGACTCTGTTTGGGCGACTTCATCCTCTAGACTATTGAGGGATAGTAGGGGGCTGGGTAGATGTGTCACTTCTAAGGCTTGTGTCCAGTGTGGGACCCAGTTACTTACCCACTAGCCAGGCTCAGAAAAGAGACTTCTGGATGTTAGTAGTGCTGAGAAGAAAATATAGCAGTGTAGGGAGCTGGGTGCGGGAAAGAAGTGTGGGGGAGGGGGAGAGGGGAGGGGGAGGGGGAGAGGGGTGGGGGGAAAGAGGGGAGGGGGCGGGGGAGAGGGTGGGGGAGGGGGGTGGGGGAGGAGGAGAGTGGTGAGGGGAAAGAGGGGAGGGGGAGAGGGTGGGGGAGGGGGAGAGGGGTGGGGGAGGGGGGATATGTGGGGCTGTTTCTTGTCAGGTGGTCAGCAAGGGTTGCTTTGAGGGAGTGACCAAGGGTAGAGCTGTGGAAGAATCAGAGGAGGGTGCCAGGCAGGGGGTAAAGGTCCTGGAACTTCTTCAGTGTGATGATTATGATGGCGATGACAGTGATGGACGAGATAATATCATCATTGGAGCCGAAGCGGAGAGGGCAACCCTTGATTGCAGGACAAGGGTTGTATTAGCGTTCTCCAGAGGGACAGAACTTAAAGAGTGGATCACACACACACTCACACACACACACACACACACACACACACGATCCATTAGAATGGCTCCCAGGCTTGTCCAGCTTATCCAACAATGGCTGTCTCCTAATGGAAGATTCCAGAACCCACTGGTTGTTCAGTCCATGAGGCCGGATGCCTCTGCTGGTCTTTTACATGCTGGGATCCCAAAGAAATAGGCTCTAATGCCAGTGACGGAGAGGACTTGCCAGCAAAAAGGGGAGCAAGCTTCCTCCCTCCGTGTCCTTGTATAGACAGGCTGCAGCGGAAGGCATGGCCCGGGTTAAAGACGGGTCTTCCCTTAAGTGATTTAATTAAGAAAAATCCCTCACAGATGTGCCCAGCAGCCTGGGCTTTAGTTAGTTCCAGATGTAGTCAAGTTGACAGCCAAGACTAGCCGTCACAAGGTAGCTCAACACAGTAGGTGTGTGTGTGTGTGTGTGTGTGTGTGTGTGTGTGTGTGTGCTTGCACGCATGTGGAAGCCAGAGGTCAGCCTGAGTGTTGACCCATGAAACCTGCTCAGCATGTGACCTGGACCTTTCTTCTTTTCTTTTTCTCCTTCCTTCCTTCCTTCCTTCCTTCCTTCCTTCCTTCCTTCCTTCCTTCTTTTCTTTTCTTGAGACAGTTTCTCTGTAGCTTTCGACGGCTGTCCTGGAACTCGCTCGGTAGACCAGGCTGGCTTCCAGCTCACAGAGACCCGCCCGCCTCTGCCTTCCGAGCCCTGGGGTTAAAGGCGTGAGCCACCACTGCCCGGCTGACCTGGCGCTTTTCTAAGGGACTTCTCCATCCAGGGTTCCAGGGATAACCCAAGCTAGGCAACGCTAACCCTGAGGCTCAAAGGAGGGAGGTGGCTGGTACCAGGACACACGTGCAGTGAATCCTGGGAGCCCTGGCCTGTGGCTCACTGTCCTGTAGCAGGGAGGAGACAGGGCTCCTCAGGTTTCAGCTCCAGCAAGGCCCCAGCGGGAATCCAGGTGCGCCTGCTCTGCTGGGCAAGCTGCCCTGGTGGGCAGAGGCAGGTTGCAGGCATGATGGCTTCTGCTGGGAGGAGGTCCAGGCTTGTGGGTGCCTTTCACAGGTGACAGCACATAACTGGGGTGTCCACCTAACCAGACAGTGTGGTGCTGATGGCGAGTCGGAGGAAGGGGCGGAGTAGTAGAGAGACATGCTCATCAAAATCCTCCTCACTTGCGTGCCTGGAAACTTCCATGCCAGATTACACGTGAGAGGCGGCAGAAGGGTGGTAGAAGGTGTGTTCCGCCGCCGCCGATGATCCAAGGTGCTAGGCCCATTCTTTAAGAATATACGCCTGGTGGTGGGGTGTTTGCGCATGGGTGCAGTGCCTCAAGAGGCCATTAGAGGGCGCCATGCAGCTGTGAGCTGCCTCATTTGTGTGCTGGGGCCCAAACCCTAGTCCTTTCCTAGAGCAACGAACAACCTTAACCACTGAGAAGAGAAATCTCTCCAGCACCTCCATTTCATTCTTGGCCCACAGGGCCCCAGGATTCCTCACTGGTCATGCCTGGAGCTGGCATGGCATGCTCTTCTCCCAGGCAGTGCATCCCGCAGCGAACCCCACCTCCATCACACCCCCCGGGGTCGTGCCAGGTTGGTGAGGTCTGCAGACGCACCCTGGTGGCCACGGTCCCTGATCTTGGTGTATCCCTCCTCTTGCTGTTGGTGGGTGGCGGCCATTGTATGCCTGAGCTGTCTTTCGAGTTGCTGGGGAGTCGGGCTGCACATACGCAGGATGTGGCCTTTAGTAGCTGTGCCTGGGTGCCTGCCTCCCCGTGCCCAGTGTGTGGATTCCCAGCTGTGTCCCCATCCTTTGCCGGTACCGTGTAGGGTTGGGATCCTGGTAGGGAACAGTGTTTTCTCACGCCTCTTTTAATGTTCAGACACCGGCAGTGTTTTGTGGAGAGCTTGAGGTGAAGACCTCAAAATGTTGTGGAAGATTCCTAACTCCTGCTCCTGTTTCCTGCTTAGCCAGGGTGGAAAACAGTTTTATCGCAATACTCAGCTCCAGTTGATGGGCCACACATACCGGGCCGTGGGAGACAATGCTGTCTATTATCTATTGGTGATGTCTGCATGGGTCAGGGAAGATAGATGATTGTCAAGTATTTGCTAACCCTGGTTCAGCAGCATATCTGCTCTCACACACACTCACACACATATACACAACACACACACTCACATTCACACACACACTCGCACACTCGCACACAAGACACTCACACTCACACACTTACATTCACACACTCACATTCACACTCACACACAAATACCTGCCTGCACCCCAAAGCCCACACAGATGGGATGGCCTAGCAGAGACTTTTGGACGGCCCTCCCCCCTTGGAACACTGTTGAGTTTTATGCATGCAATGTCATGAACAAGTACCTTGTTCATTTCTTATGAGTGAATAATATTCTGTTATATAAACGTCCCATTTCTTCAGCCATTTGTAGACCGATTTCCCCACCATGTTTTATAAGCCCACGTGTGTTATTAATAATGACTTCTTCTTGTTGCTGCTGTGAGCAAAATACCTGGCAGCAACAACCATAACCTGGAAGGAAGATTTATTTTGGCTCATGATGTCTGGGAGAAAAGGCTTCGGTGGTCAGAGCGGTTCCATCAATGGCAGTGGAAGCCATTGGCCAGGGCTCTTTAAATAGAAGTACATTGGACCACATCCCAAAGGTCCCACAACCTTGCAAAACAGTGCCACCATCTGGGGATCCAGTATTCAAGCTCATCAGCACCTAGGGGACCAGGTGTTCAAGCTCACAGGCACCTGGGGGACCAGGTATTCAAGCTCACCAGCACCTGGGGTACCAGGTGTTCAAGCTCACCAGCACCTGAGGGACCAGGTATTCAAGCTCACAGGCACCTGGGGGACCAGGTGTTCAAGCTCACCGGCACCTGAGGGACCAGGTATTTAAGCTCACAGGCACCTGGGGGACCAGGTGTTCAAGCTCACCAGCACCTAGGGGGACCAGGTGTTCAAGCTCACAGGCACCTGGGGGACCAGGTGTTCAAGCTCACAGGCACCTGGGGGACCAGGTATTCAAGCTCACAGGCACCTGGGGGACCAGGTGTTCAAACTCACAGGCACCTGAGGGACCAGGTGTTCAAGCTCACCGGCACCTGGGAGCCAGTTTTCAAAGCAAATGCCAGTTTGTGTTTTTAATCTCACCACAGCCCTCACTTCGTCCATACTGTTTATGTGGCTGCAGATTGCCCATCTGCCCATCTGCTTGATACCTCTTCCTCCCCTTAAACCTGGAATGGCTGGCTGGCCTCTGGGGCCCAGACGCCGTACATATTTATTTAGTGAGCAAATGAGGGAGACCCTGGATCAAGAGCCAAAGAGGGACACACACAGTTTGCCCACCCCATGGATGGAGACTGGGTGGGTCCTTCCGTGGCTTGGTTGTCAGGGAGAGGAAGGTA